TGATAACCTGAACCATTAATAACTTTCAAACATAAATGTCAAGGTAATTATCATCCATTATATCCTACGGAACATGCTCAATATATGGTTGTTGTTGATAAAACTATATCAGGATGCCAATATGAATTCCATTTGAATGTTCAAGAATGCCAACGATGAAAGATTGCAAAAAAGTGTTTCCGGTTCAGTTACCTGGTGGTTATTCTGCTTATGTTTTATGTCAAATTAAACAAGCAGAAACATATGATTCAGTGAAATGTGATGAAGTGTATAATCAAGTCTTGTTATGTAGTCATAAATGTACGGGTACATGTGATTTATGTCAATGTGGTCAGTTGCATTTACAATGCAAAGAAACAATTGACAAAATATTACTTTGTGGTCATATGGGTAACTGACGCTTATCCAAATTATTTTTCTATATCGCTCGCTCTTCGCATAGGTTTCTTCTAGTCTCTGTCGTGAAACTTGTTCACCATGTATGGATCTGTGTGAAAATCACTATCCATAGTCGAGATGTACAAGGTTATGTTCAGAAGCGTGTAATTCCTGCAAAGAAGTTTGCACGTGGTCTTGTGAACATGACAACTGTACAAAATTCTGTTGTGAACCGTGTGATCGTAACCTGTGTAACAAAAAGATAGAACAGAAGAGAAAAGGACAGAAGCCTATGATACCACTTTTTGTCCGTGATGATGGTGGTACGTGTACTCAGATAGAAATTCTATTTTGAATGATAAACAGCTTAATTTGACATATCGTCACAACATGAGAACAATGGGTATAGAAATTGATAGAATATTATTGATTGTTTCCAATCGAGTAAAGTTTCTATAATTAACGGGTCAGATTGGTCAATTTGTAGATGTTTTTCAGAATACCGTTTATTCTGAACAATTGGAATCATTGACTATAATTGATTTAATTAAACTGGGAACTATGTTATCATTATTAGTGAAATTAAAACGATTAAAAATGTTAATAAATTTGAATGTTGACACACGAAATCAACGTTTTCATTGATCTTAAAATTATGTATAAGATCATACTACGGGAAAATTGTTTACATCAACTGATAACATTTTCTCTACAAACAGATAATTGTATTGGATTAAATTATCATAAAAAGTGACTTTCAGTCTTATGATACAGAAATCTTATCAAGCATTTAACACTGCATTGTTCTTGGATCACTTTCAGAATATTATGAAAATTAGGTCATAATTTACAATATTTAAATGTTTCTCTACAAATAAATTGTTGTCAAACAATTTGCCCATCTGTTTCATCATTAACTATGAAATATTTGCAATTATATTTACCAACTACGAATTTTTACTTTTATTTATACTAAATTTTCAATGTTTCTTTTTCTTGCAATGTATTTTCATGCATCAATAAACTAGAAACTCTTCAACCAATTTTCTTTTACGTAAGAAATTTATTTCTCATTGAAAACAAGCTAGAAGATCCGTTAAATATTTTCTTGAAAAAATTCTTTTATACTGCTGTTGTCGAAATAAAAATCAATCAATCAATCAATCTTAGTAACTTTACATTGTATTAGATTCAAAAATATATTTACTAGTCTTTACCGTACATATGTTTTATCGACGACCTTACATTCT